TATTCACATATGGGTTTTCTGTTTTCTAATTGCATGTGATCATTTAAATTATACATTGTCCTGAGCTATTTATAAAAGAATAAATGCATTTTAAAAGACAGGCTATAGAATGATGGTTTAAACTATTACAAAATCAATTTTCAGAAGGATCATGACATATTGATCAAATGTATTTCTTCTGTTTTTTGCACACATTAAAATTGTAGACACCTCGCAATCCCAATATCTAAACTTCTAATTGTATTTTTTAAACAAAGTCTTATGAGAAACGTACTTTATGTAGCTCTGCGGATCTGAAATTGCTGGAAAATACAGGACGGTAAGGTGTTTGGATGCTGTCTATGAGATGCGCGCTGCTGGTGGGCGGTACCTACGGTCAGACTCCCGATCTGACGCAGTGTATCCCGACGCTCAGCATCCGACAACGGCCTGGATCGGACCAGACACGAGGACACCGCGTACCGTAGAGATGTAGCCATGAATCATCTACATTATATCAGCTGAACGAAGGACCGTCGACATTTATTGTTTATTCCACGGCTTTTATTGCGCCCAACCCTAAAAATGACTGAGATCACTGAAATACGCGCGGCGTACGGTGAGTAACGTTAGATAGCGCAGGCCTGAGCCTTCCCGACACGCCTGAGATAAGCTGGACTGTAGGGGCTAGTTGTCACACGGGGAATTGATCACAAAAGCTCTGTCCCAGTTATTATAAGGGTCGAGTCAAAAGCACAATTATGCAAATGTGTGTTTTCTTTAGCAGTGGTCATCCGTGCTGGTTTCAATCATTTGTAGTTCAAAACCCTCTTATAGGAACATTTAACCTAAAATGAAAATTCTGTCGTAATTTAGACACCCTCATGTCCCATAAGAGTTTCATTTGTATGGACAAAAAAGGTTTTAATTTTTTATTTTGCTCTCAGCTGCTCTTTGACAGATGCCATTTAGGGAAGTGGTTGTCAACCTTTTTGGCTCCAAGACCCCCCACTTTCCACAGCAATATTCAGAGACACCATGTTTTTTCCAGTCTTTCATGATTTATAGGATAAGTATTAAGGACAAAGACTTTTTAAAAATATTTCTCTTTTTTTACCCACACTTTCTACCCAATAAAATATTTTAGAGTTTGACATAACTTGAAAATGTATATTCCTTATTTAAAAGAGAGAGAGAGATTTCATAAGATTCTACTAATTAGTCTCCTTCATATCCCTTCATATCCAGGTTTTTCTAGACAGTGAGAACTCTGGTTCTTCAAAACAAAAAAACTTGTTGGGATTTCTTAAAATAAAATAAAATCTTGATTTTAGTTGTTATAGCATATTTAAACCTTGTTTTTGCTCATTTTAAAGCTTATTTTAACACCCAGCTGGGCCCTGGCCCTGTGGTTGAGAACCACAGGTTTAGGGTGTTTGTGGTGTTCAATGTAAACAGACAGTAATAAGTGTTGGGGTTAAGAGGATCTTCTCGCCTCTTTCAGATGTGATGGGGCAACTTACAGTCTCTAATTATAGAAGTGGCATAAGGATTTTAAATATTGGTATAAAACAAAATATGTTGGGATTATGTTTAAAACCATTTTGTTTATTCTCAGAATTATACAAAATTGATTTCCTCTATACTACACTCTTAAAAATAAAGGTGCTTCACGATGCCATAGAAGAACCTTTTTGTCTAAATGGTTCCATAAAGAACCTTTAACATCTGAAGAACCTTTCTGTTTCACTAAAGGTTCTTTGTGGCGAAAGAAGGTTCTTCAGATTATAAAAAGGTAAGAAAGAGATGGTTCTTTAAAGAACCTTTGACTGAATAGTTCTTTGTGGAACCAAAAATGGTTCTTCTATGGCATCGCTTGAAGAACCTTTTGAAGAACTTTTATTTTTAAGAGTGTACGCCTGAATTAAAACAAATTTGTGAGAACAATTTTAGTAGAGAAGCTGAAAATGGATTAGAACTATGTTGTCACTCTGGTTTATATGTTTCACTTTAATCACTAAACTGATATAAAAAGCATTATCTTTAAGGAAATGAAACTTTTTAGGGCTAATGTAAAGGCATAACTGAGTTAAAGTGAGGGT